CAGGCGTCAGCATCAGCATCACTGTTGCTCTAGTGATATTGCTGCATCCCTCCAGATGACATTGCTCCAATCACCACATGCACTTATCATTACAATTTAAAGGGAAGCTATATGTCTAACAATGCATATATATTTATTTTAATAAGTATAATTAATGGTTGGAAAACAAATCAAATTCTATGTTGAGCAAATTTAAACTACATATAGTTTATGTATTATTTTCATTTACGAGATGATAAATTCATCACTCCGGCATCACCTTGGTGGTTGTGGCCTGCGCTGAGCCATATATCATATAAATGTTTGAAGCATACACTCTTCTAAAGTGTATGTGTGTGTGTGTGTGTGTGTGTGTGTATATATATATATATATATATATATATATAAATATATATATATATAGTGAAGGGAAAAAGTATTTAATCCCCTGCTGATTTTTGAATGTTTGCCCACTGGCAAAGAAATGATCAGTCTATCATTTTAATGGTAGGTGTATGTTTTACTACATGAAACGTCTGACCTTGTGATTGCCAACAAGAGTTTTGCCACCAAGTACTAAGTCGAAGGGGTCAAATACTTATTTTACTCATTGACATGCAAGTCAATGTATAACTTTTTTGACATGCGTTTTTCTGTATTTTTTTTGTTTTGTTATTCTGTCTCTCACTGTTAAAATACACCTACCATTCAAATTATAGACTGATCATTTCTTTGTCTATGTCTTCTACAGATATGCTGGTGGTTGATGAGGCTAAGCTGAGCCAGGCAGATCAGGCCGCAACAGCTGCAAGGGAAAAATCTGGTCTGACTTTGATGCCACAATGTCACGGTCCTTTCTCTGTTTCATTTTAATCTTAATATCTGCCCTACATGCGTTCTGGGAGGAGGAGGTAGCCTGATGAATGGTGTCCAAGTCTCGCGATCGAAGAGAAACTTGTAGCGGGTCTCTAGTCCTACCAGGGATTTTCCTGTGCTGGATCACCAAGAGTATCAGGAATCAGGAACAACTAAATGCCAAGTCAATAGTCCACCTCCTCCCCAGTAACTGGACGACACACAGTTCTGGAAATACAACTGACCTTAGTCTGACACACATGGCTTTTTATGCATTGCTCCTAGCATGGACTTTCCAGATCAAAACCACAAGGGTTTCTTTCCCTAGAGCCTTTGTGTTTGAGAGATAATTACATGATTTTGCTATTTCATGACAAAAAGTCATGATTTTAGGAAAGACACAGAGGCAAGTATTGCTTAGCCCTTTCTTTACTGTCCACCAATAGCAGCAAAGAATACAACAGTAAGAAAAAATGGTAACCATAGTAATATGCCACACCCATACCAAGTCCCAGTATAATAGTCAGCACATCCCTACACATTTCCTCTTTCTTTGAAGATGCAAGACAATAACAACAAAACAGGAACGATGAAACTGTCCAAACCAAATAGAACAGGCGATCCGAAATCCATCCGGACTCCGATCAGGAACCATAACGGAACTGGGACCAATCCATCAGTAAACAAGATTCCAACAGTGAGCCCATCACAGCATTGTCCATCAACTTCCTGGCCACTTGGTGAAGCTGAGAGAGAAGTGCTGAAGACCCTTGATCAACAAGGAATCAACCTGTGAAAACACAAAAGACAGGAGCCGAACGGTTAAATCGGTACTTGAACCAAAGTGCGCATGCCAAGACATAATTTTATAACTAGACAGAAGCAACACAGTGTGCATAATTCATTATAGGCATTTCGAATAATCACGTAACACGAACAGGTTAATAAACGGTTGAAACTATACAAAACCCAGAGCGCATAATGAATACCTACCAACCCTGGAAAACCTGCAGGAGAGAATAAACAACCGGATGGGGTAAATCAGTAAAATAACTATGAAGGGTGGGACAATACTCGCCTCTGTGTCTTTCATGAAATCATGACTTTTTGTCATGTAATAGCAAAATCATGTAATTTTATGTCAAGACACGGAGGCTCATATTGCAAGTTTAAAGTTGATCAATAACTGGAGAAAAAACGTGAGGCAAAGGTCGAAAGTAAAACTCACGAACAGTGGATTCGCGGGACCAGTCGGCCATTCTCATCAGGTCTTCCAGATGTGCACCTGAATTCACCATGGACGTGGTCGATGCCCCTCGGGCTGAGTGGGCACCGAAGATGGACGTATCCACGCCGGCCAGAGACATCACCCATTTCACCCAGCGATCCAATGTAGTACTGGACACAGGGGAGAAGGGGTGACGAAGCGAGAGAAACAGCTGGGGAGACGACGTAGCTCGATGTGCGCTCGTTCGAAGTTCATATTCCCGTAGGCAGGCCACCGGACATAGGGCTGGAGTACCAGGGAACCTTGGATCAGAAATCGATCGAATAGCAGTCTTGGTGCGTCTGGAGATGTTAAACGTCATCCCGTCCGGAGTGAAAGACCTAGCATCATAGTCCAGGGCACTAACATCCGATACCCATTTGCATGAAATGAGACAGAACAGGGAGACCAACTTGGCCGACAGCTGTCGCAGGGAGAGCTCTGCATTAGGCGGCCAGGAGGAGAACAGCAACAAAACACAGGAGACGTCCCATGTAGATGAGTAACAAGTTCTAAGGGGGCGCAACAGGCATGAGCCCCTAAGTAAGCGGCACACTAACAGATGTTGGCCTGCTGGGAAGCCGTCAAATCCTTGGTGAGCCAAGGAGATGGCCGATCTGTATGAATTAATCGTGTGATATGCCCGGCCAGCTTCAAACAACGAAGTCAGGAATAGGAGGATCGCAGTCACAGGTGCTGAAACGGGATCCAAGTTCCGAGCCAGGCACCAGCCAGTCCAAGCTCTCCAAGCGGTCCCATATGCTTGTCTAGTCCCGGGAGCCCATGCGTCAGCCAGGAGGTGTTGAGTTGCGTCCGAAACCCCTTGGATTTCCCAGGGACTCACAAAATCCTCCACGTGAGCAGTAGTAATGACCTGTCCACCAGGAGGGGATGCTGGAGGCCCGGTAGGTCAAGGAGGAGGTTTGGTAGAGACGACAGCAGTCTGGGCACGTCTACCGCCAGTTCCAGGAGTTGTGGGAACCATAATTGGGTCCCCCAGAATGGGGTTAGTAGGATCAGGTTGGCCATTTGGCGGCAAACTTGGAGCAGGACCCGAGGTATCATGGCAAACGGGTGGAAGGCGTAGAGGAGTGAGCCAGTCTTGTAGGAAGGCGTCCACTGCCTCCGCGGTTGGATCCGGACGCCAGCTGTAGAACCAGGGTAGTTGGGTATTGAGCCTGGACGTGAAGAGGTCGATGGCAAACGGACCCCATATGGTGATATAGCGGAGAATACTCCCACATCCAATCTCCAATCGCTGACAGAAAGCGTGAACTCCAGTCCGCGTGAGTGTTGTGGAGCCCGGGAAGGTATTCTGCCTGGACCACCAGGTTCCTGTCCAAGTAATAGGCCCAGATGTCCTTCACCAAGTGGGCCAGGAGTGCAGATTGAGTGCCACCCATGTGGTTGACATAGCGGACCGCTGAGATGTTGTCCATGCGCAGGCAGATGCATAAGCTGGCAGTCGCGTTCGCAAAACTCCGGATCATACATGAACCCACTAGGAGTTCCAGAGCATTGATGGGGAGGTGGGATTCGTCTGCCGACCAGCGACCCCCGGTAGTCACCCCATTGCAAAGTGCACCCCAGCCGCGGAGACTGGCGTCTGAGTCCACTGTGAACTCTGGTTGGGAGCCGAAGATGGCATTGCCATTCCAAGCCGAGAGGTTGTGGATCCACTAGGTCAATTCATCTCGAGTCTCCGAGTCCAGGGACGACCCCCCCCGCGAAGGTGTGCAATCTTCAGGCGCTGGAGGGCACAGTAATGGAGTGGGGCTGGGAACACCGCTTGGATTGATGCTGCCAGAAGGCCAATGATCCGTGCCAGGTGGCGTAGAGATAGCTGGGTGCGCATTAAAGCGCGGCGCAGCTCCTTGCGTATTGTCCGTATCTTGGAGGCAGGGAGGCTCAGTGACTCTGCTTCGGAATCTACCATGAAGCCTAGGAACTCTATGTGATGTGAAGGAGACAGGCAGGATTTTTCCCAGTTGAGGAGAAAACCCAGGCGGGTTGTCCATTGAAGATGTTTCCGAAGGACTGAACGATCCTGTGCCATGATGAGGATGTCGTCCAAATAGACGATTATCCGGACTCCCCAACTGTGCAGCCAAGCGGGGAGCATCAGTTTCGTGAAGCACCAAGGGGCTGACGACAGTCCAAAGGGGAAGCACATGAAGTGCCAGGTGTCTCCTTTCCAGAGGAAACGTAACAGGTCCCTGGAAGACTCGGCCACTGGGACCGTCAGATAGGCATCCTTCAAGTCCAACTTTGCCATCCAGTCTCCCTGAAGGAGTAAGCCTCGCAGGAGGTGGATGCCCTCCATTTTGAAGTGACGATAGCACACCAGGGTGTTTAGGGCACGGAGGTTTATAACAGGGCGCATTTGTCCTCCTTTCTTTTCCACTAGGAAAATATTGCTGATCACTCCTGTGGAGGACACCGGGGCCAGCTCTATCGCCCCTTTTGCATGGAGGACCGTTAGTTCTGCGTCTATCAAGGCGCGGTCGGTTGTAGAAAGCAAAATAGGGCGAGGTGGGGGAACGTGACATGGATTGTCGACCAGTTCGATGTGAAACCCCCGAACTGTGGTCAGAACCCAGACATCTGAGGTGATGGTTGACCAGGTGTGGAAAAAATTACGGAGTCTGCCCCCTACACACATATTGGAAGAAACATGAGGTAGATGTAAGCTTACCGTAAGGGCGTCTGGAACCGGGGTTCCCTCTGAAGCCTCTGTAACACCATGGTCTTCCACGAGAGGGGAGGAAAGGAGACTGCTGTCTCGTCTCCTGTTAGGGTGTTCTCTAAGTGTAGTAGCCTCGTCCAGATCCATGGGCATGGTAATTGGAGCGGCCGGACAGACGACCCCTGAATCTGCCGGCCCTGGTATAGACCTGCCCCTGAAACACCCTCTTCATGGAGGATTGGGTCTCATCTAGGGCTGTGAATGCACCCACAAAGCGCCCCAGGTCCTTAATAAAGGAGTCCCCAAATAAGAGGCCTTGGGCGTCCTTTCCTGCCTCTGTGAGGGCGAGGTTGGCCAGTTTGGGTTCAATCTTGAACAGAATGGCTTTACGCCTTTCAATGGACAGAGAGGCGTTTACATTGCCCACAATGCAGAGAGCCCTCTGCACCTAACCACGGAGTTCCTGCAGGTCAACCTGCCGGTTCTCGGCTCTGGCGATTTCAGCCAGATCAAACAGTTTGGCCAAAGGGCCAAATATGTCAAGATGTTTATCTTGGCACGATTTAAGTGCTGAATCTCCAAACCCATTTTGGAGAGGAATTGGGTCATCTTAGGGTCCACTACAGGGGTCTCACAGACTTTGCTAGGTACCAATGGTCTTGGGCATTCCGCCCTAAGTTTAGTACCCGCCGCCTTACTGAGGGGGCGTCGTACCCAGTTTTCAAGGTACCGTGCCACATGGTCCGCCGGGAGCCATTCCGCCGACCTCGAATGATGGAGAGCATCCGGGTCAAACATGGGTTCCCTGGATGGATCCATGAGGGTGGAGCCCGCAGTAGCGGGCGAGTCACTCCTAGGGCCACTGCGGAGTGAGCAGGTGCCTAAAGGGTCAGACTTCTGCCCACAAAATTTGTCATCAGAGTCATCCACAGACTCAGCGTCAGCCTCCTCACTAGACACGATTTCTGAGTCGGAGTCGCTCTCTTTTTGTGCTCTAGCACATTTCCACTGCCGCGCCCGTTCTGCCTGGCGCAGAAAGACTCTCTTGCGTGACATAGGCACGCTGTCATGGGTGGCTATAGTCACACCAGTCGTGTTGGTTCTGGAGGCAGGGAGGTTTGAGTGCCTGGTTTTGGCAGTAGCCTTTTTTGGTGCCTCCCCTATAGGGTCAGTAGCCGGTCGCGCTAAGTGTGTTGGCGTGGCCAAACCTTCTGCGGCCAAAGGGCGTGCAAATAAGGCTTGTGATATGGTCTGGGAGAAGACAGAGGACATGGAGCCCATAGCAGCCATAATGGCGTCAGAGACTGAGCACTGTAGTGCCAGGGACTGGGTTTCATCAGACAGGGGCATAGGGTCCCCAACAGAAGAAGGAGATGCAGAATTGGAAGATGGGTTATCTAAAACCTGGGGCATGTCCATCTCCCTAGGGGAGGAGGGGCTGGCAGGCACTTTAGGCATGGTAGTGCTGTGAGATATTCCCCAACAAAACTTTAACAACAATATAACCAGTATGGGATAAAGCTAAATCAGAGCAGAGGAGACTAGCAGGAGTTAATCACCCCAAACTAGTATAACCTAAGAGGGTATAGATAGGGAGCTCACCAGGGTCCAGACCGGCAGATAGGAAGAGAACACGCACAAAGTCAGAGAGACAGGAAGTCAGGAAATGGCCGCTGGCAATCTCGTGAGATTCGCGGCCAAAATACAGTCAATTCGTCAAGTTAAAGAGCTGAACGTTCGGCAAAAAAGAGACAAATTCAATGGGATAAATAGATGAAAGTAATGAATAGGAAACAGGCGAATGCACTGAACGTTCAAATGAAAAATAGCCGAATGCGGCAAAACAGACAAATGAAGCTAAGTGTTAGAAAAAACAAACGAACGGCATGTGTTCATGAAGAATTTACCGAACTGGTTAGAATTCTTTCACGAAAACAGCCGAACAGGACGGAAAACAGGCGCAAAATGGCGCCAAATAAACGGAGAGAAGGAGAAAATGGAGCCAAAGGGTAGTGAGGAAAGATATAATGAGATAAGTTAGTAATCAGAAGAAGCAAGTGAGCATGGATAACACACAGAATAAAACACAGGGAAGGTCTGGAATCCTGGGCTCAAAGGTAACCAACATAATATATAGTATAAAACAAGCATGTAATAAAACACAGAAAAAATTCCTTAATAACTGGATAAATGAAAGCAGACAGGAATTATCAACAAAAGGAGTAATAGAAGTTCAAATAACAATAAATAACTCATATAAATAACCAGAAATCAATAAGAGAATAGTAGTATAGTATGAGAGAAATTTTGTCATGTACTTATCTTTGGTCGGAGCAGCAAAGAAAGAGGAAATGTGTGGGGATGTGCTGACTATTATACTGTGACTTGGTATGGGTGTGGCCTATCACTATGGTTACCATTTTTTCTTACTGTTGTATTCTTTGCTGCTATTGGTGGACAGTAAAGAAAGGGTTAAGTAATATGAGCCTCTGTGTCTTGACATAAAATTGAGCTCAATTTAAGATAGTTCAATTATCTCTCAAATACAAAAACTTTCTTACATTTTTAACATACAGTCAGGATCGTATCCTGACAACTATGTTTTATCTTTATTTATCTGTTTATCTGTTTTTATCTTCTTTTATTTATGTTCCTTTAAAAGAAGTACCAGCTCTCCACCACTAGTGGCCTCCCTAGCCACTAGTCACCTCAGTCCTCACCTGCCTAGGACTAATTACAGGTCCTACAAAAGGTCACACCCGAGAATACCAGTGGCCTTTACATTGAAGTTGGGGATTTACCTGAATCACTTCATATCCTGGCTCCTGTGAACCTGCTCCATATTTACCTTCAAACCTGCTCTTAAAACTAACCTGCTCCACCCTTACCTATACTTCAAACCAGCCTGCCTCTGTCACCAAACTGCCTCTGTTACCAGCCTGCCTCTATAGCCAGCCTTTCACTGTTGCCAGCCTGCCTTTGTTACAACCCTACCTGGAAATTACAGACATTCTTTATTATTTGCAAGTAACCTGTTCTGTGGCATATTACCTAAATTCTGTTTTACCTCAAGTTTCATAATATGTCTAAAATCACTAATAAAGTACCTGAAGTCAACCCTGGCATAAGTCTCCTAGCTGACCTGCACAAGATCATGACACATACCCTAAAAATACATGACAGGAATCCAGAAACCCCACAAAAAAATCATATTTCCGAATTGTTCTGGTCTGAGTGCACAATATATCAGATCGGTTCGATAGAACGAAAGCTATGTTCGAATGAAGCTTTGATCAACCGGCCATGAGGGGATAGCCCAAAATAGTTCCAGAGGATTTGTCAAGATGGCCGATTGGCTTTCAGGGGTTCCTGTGCAAACACAGATGAACGCTCCCCCTGGCTGTTATGGAGCAAGTGCTCTCCCTGTTCGGTAAATTATATCTCCTGAACGTCGTTCGTCTAGATGGTCGTGAAGTTGAATGGGCAGCGAAGACGCAAGGCCGAAAACAGTTCCAGGCGTTTGACGACCAAGTACCGCTGCCTGCGTTCGGGAGACAAAATAGCCACCATGCACTGGACTACGTGCGTTCGGTTATACAAATGGTAGACACCCAGGGAAAGCACTCAAGCGAAGGTGTCAAGTTGTTAATTTGTGGTTAACAGCCAGGGAAGGTCGGTGTACACTGGGGCATAACAAGCGACCACACACCAGTCATTCAGGAGACGAACAAGGGAATCAAACATAGGGGAATGGAGTCTTCTACAAAACTCAGTAGCTTGCACTTCGGTAAATCTCTGTTCAGGTCTCAAAATAGTTTTTGCTCACTTCCATTACAGAGAAAACCTATTCCAAATTTCTGCTCTGCACAAAACTTTAACGGAAGGCACCCATTGCCGTTTCCAACACCATGTTTGCCAAGTACTACTTTCCAGGCTTCTGAGTCCTGGCCTACTCTGGCCTACTCAGGACTTGCTTGAAGAGTTGGGGCATACACACTAAACAGTATGACATGATTCTTATGACAGTATGACATGAGGCTCTTGGAGATGATGCAATCGGAGTGACCCGATGGCAGATTTTCAACCTGGGAGGCAATGGATTTCCTGATCATAAAACCAACACCACAGGGATCTCTCAGTCTCTGGATTGCCTGCGTCAAGCTCTTGAAGCTGGCTATCTCTGGGAGGTGGACTTCACTGAGAGCAACGATATCAACATAGAGCCTTGAGAGTTCGTGACTGACTAAAGCAGAGTGCCGTTCAGAGCGATTCTGCTGTATCAAGCATGGTTCTGATGTTGCAACATGCAAGTTTTAGTCCTAGCACACCTTGTGTGCCTTTTATTCATTTTGTTTGTTCAAACACATTAGAAGATGCTAGTTGATCACAGCTAGCCAACAGGGGGAAATAGAGACAAGCATTGTTTAGGCCACTCTAAGTGGAGCAAACAGTGCAAGAAAAGGCTGCTTGGTCAATCAGCGTGCTGCCAAATTATGTCGCCGTCTCCATCACCGTCAGTCAGCTGACTGAAGAAGCTCAGGAAAGGAGTGAAAGGCGTTGTAACGGACCGTTTCAGTACACAAGGGGTTAAAACCGTTTAGGCGATCGTCCCCTTTCAGAGATACAGGCACAGCTACTGTAGAACACCAAACTCACGAACCGCATATAAGGGAATGTTCCAAACTCCCGAACGGCATACAATGTAACACTCCAAACTCACGAACTGGAACCATACGAATCTCTGCTAGCAGACGAATAGGAAAAGCATCCAAGCGGCTTACACTCCTAGCAATCAGTCTCTATCAGCATTCAGTAAATCCCCCCAAAGACGAGACAAGGCTCTGTGTTGTGGGTCAAGCAGTGGTCTGTTTAATGAGGGCTATCTGCCCAGTATTTATGCAGGTCTCCCACCTGGTGGACACTCCCCTAGGGGACCAAATGGGAGACTGTGACACAAGACAGACAATCAGCCAAACAGGACACACAGTCACATTATATTCCCACAATGCATCCTGGCTTCCTCCCCTCTGCCCTGGAGATAATTGAGAAGTAATTCAATTATCTCCAAGGACAAAGGCAAATCGCCATTATGCACGTGGGGATACTAAAACATGAATTACTATTAAAATACATTATATGACATAACTTGCAATAAAACTATACATTTAACATATCCCCAGATAGCTCAGGTCTGAGCGCACATTATTAAGTGAATGGCACTCAGACCACAAGAATACAGTTTAATCTCCATGGAGCCAAAGTCTTTACAAAGTCAGTTCTCATACGAATGAGCTCCATGGGATTCCTATCTGGGGTATAGTGCAGTCAGGTACAACTACCGAACACCGGGCCATTCGTGCACTTTCACCGAACAAGAAGGGAGGTCGGCGGCTTCAGCGGTGTTTGCGCCAAACTGTGTCCGTTTTTAGTTCCATGAGTTAGTTGTCGAACACCGCTGTGTGTTCGCGTGTTTAAAATGGCTGCGACCTCGTGTTCGTTATACGAATGGCAGCCACCCAATATTCATCAATTAAGCTGCGGTTAACCGCAGCTTCTGGGAGGCTAATTGCCGGCACACTCCAGCTCCCAGGTGGTCTAGTCATTCGTGCGGTTGTTCGGTAGATTG